TAGGTTTAGAAGTACTAATCAACTCCACTTCCGTATTTCAATATCTTATGCTATTTATCACTATATAGAAATGTGTTATTTCTATCTACATTATACAGAAGAACTTTTTTTCCTCTATGGGCCTATGATACAGCCTTTCGCTAATTATATATTGTAAGATCGTGTGGAAACTGTGGCCTCCGACACCTTTGTATAGGACTCACCGTGAAGTCGGGGGTACTTCTGTCTCTCGACCGCCATTGGTCCGCGATAGAGTAGACGGAGACCCCAGTTCCCGCCGATCTGAAAGTTTTTCTATAAAATACATATCAGATCATATTCAAATTCACTCTGCATAACTAAACACTTAACTAAATGGAAGTTAATGCAACAACATCTACGTACAAAGCAATTTTTGTTATCTCCCCTCATCTATCATTCGCATGATGGAATTTCTATTCTATACCATACTTTTTTTGTTATTGTTAAAATTAGACTTCTCTATTTATACCTTAAAAATGATTCGCATGGTTTCTTAAATTTATGTGGTATATTCATTTACGCTAAAAATATTGATTGTCGTTACGACTATTGAGCAGTAATCGTCAATTTAATACGACACATTGGTGAAATAGAAAGCGTATATATATATTTGCCCTGATGATCATAAGAGAAACCGGTTGGCAAATAATTAAATAAGTTAACTCATGGACTGTGTTTTTGTTTTATTTATATGTGACTTTTTTCCGGCACTTGTTTTCATTTTTTGTATATATATATATATATATATATATATATATATATATATATATATATATATATATATATATATATATATATATATATATATATATATATATAAAGGGAGATAATTAAATTCAATACAGTTATACTTTCCCCTGCGTGGGATCAGATAAAGATACAAGTGTACAGATAAATTGTTATAGAAATGAGAGAATATATACAAATTTGCCCTGATGATCATAAGAGAAACCGGTTGGCAAATAATTAAATAAGTTAACTCATGGACTGTGTTTTTTGTTTTATTTATATGTGACTTTTTTCCGGCACTTGTTTTCATTTTTTGTATATATATATATATATATATATATATATATATATATATATATATATATATATATATATAAAGGGAGATAATTAAATTCAATACAGTTATACTTTCCCCTACGTGGGATCAGATAAAGATACAAGTGTGCAGATAAATTGTTATAGAAATGAGAGAATATATACACACATACCACCACATCGATATGCCAGTCCAATTACGGCACAGCGCCTAGCAGAACAGTCATGAAAGCATAGCCACTGCTCATTCACCATCACAAAAATAATGGTTTCAGAACAGCAATATATACAGTCACAAACTGCACTACATATTGAAACAAGCTCAACATTCGCATATATAGAGTTTGTTCTCTGTTATCATGTCTCACAAATCAACGACGGAATTTTTATTGTCTTCTTCACTGATTGGGACCAGAGAACTATATATCTATTTCCGAAAGTTAACTGGATCCTGTAAGATCAAGTAGATCAGTAGGATACAATGAATTTAGACAGATAAAGAATATATAAAGGGAGATAATTAAATTCAATACAGTTATACTTCCCCTACGTGGGATCAGATAAAGATACAAGTGTGCAGATAAATTGTTATAGAAATGAGAGAATATATACACACATGCCACCACATCGATATATGCCAGTCCAATTACGGCACAGCGCCTTGCAGAACAGTCATGAAAGCATAGCCACTGCTCATCCACCATCACAAAAATGATGCTTTCAGAACAGCTTTATATACAGTCACAAACTGCACTACACATTGAAACAAGCTCAACATTCGCACATATAGAGTTTGTTCTCTGTTATCAAGTCTCACAAATCAACGATGACATATATATATTTAGAGACAGAGATATATTGCAACTTTGATACAAACATACACAGATAGAAAATAATAAATGACGACGACTGATTCGATATAAACATAGTTAATATTTAAAGTTATATATTCATGGTAATATAGGCATCTATTATACTTTTGTATTTGCAAATTGAACGTCCAAACCCCAATGTAGAAAAAAAATAAGAATATGTGCAGAAGAATTATTTTTGTGACACTGATTTGATCAAGATGTATATTATACAGAATCGTATAATTCTCCATCCGCCATCACAAAAATGATGGATTAATATTTCTCCAACAAAAAATCGTTTTTATATATTGAATAAAAATGTAAGCGACTCGAATTATTTATTTCACAGTGTAAGTATCAATAACTCTTAACTTGATCTCTTCAAGCGGAATTTCTTTATCAAACTGGCAATTCCAAATATAACTGAAGCCGTGACTATTTAATATCATTTTAATTTGAGTTGCCCAATTTTGAGAGAAATAATTTCTATTTGTAAGGTTTTTCAGCAAGAGAAATGTTTGTTTAATAACCGAATTTTGATCTTGTTTTAATATGTGTACCCAATACTTAAGCATATTTATTTTTCTATTACATTCCATCGGTAATCGTCCAACTTCAGCATATAGTGCACATAAATTGGTTGGCTGTATGACACAAAGAACCCGTCCTAAAGATTTTGTATGTACAGCTTCGATATCTGCCCCATATTTGTGAACCAAAGTTAAGAACCGACAAGAGTATCAAATAACGAAAGCTTTTTGGGACATTGACCATTCGGCGTAATTAAGGATTTTAAATAAATTAATTCAAAAGACAAGGGCGTATGGTCCGAAAATTCATTAAACGGCATAACTTAAAAGTCAATCAAGGTAGATAAATCCTCAAGACATACCAGAAAATAATCCACAGTGCTTTCCCCTTGAATAGAGCAGTAAGTGAAAGACCCAATATTTTTATCCGAGAGCAGACGACCATTTGCTGTTATGAAGCCTGTGGATATACACAGGTCAATTTGAGAATCAATCACGTTATCTCGGTTAAACCTGGGAGGAATATCATTTCTGTTTATATATGGCATATTATGGTCAATATATTTATCATTCATGAAAAAATCTGGTTCATTTGAGGTTCGACTGTTAAAGTCTCCAATAACATATACTATTCCCGAGTTCCTTTTATTTTAAAATGTAGTGAAGATATAATAACAACTTTTTAACCTTTAAACTATTTTAACTTTTATCCCCATTACATCGGATGTTTAATGTTGAATAAATAACTTGAAAACAACTGTAATATTCATACCTTTTATTTTCCTTTATCTATTATAATTCCAAATACCTTTTGACTTTAAGTTCACAATGGCATTAATTTTTATACATCACAGCATAGTAAATCTCAAATCAGTCCCAAACAATCGAAAAAGTGAACACCTTTTATAGTAAATATTTAAGCGGGAAAATTAGCATGAAAATATCGAAAAACATGAAAATCAGGAAATACATGAAAATATTTAATAATATTCTCCCATCAATTGTTAATATACTCCATTGGGAGCAGCCTGCTCCCTTTCGTAAAAATATAACAAAATATAACAAAGTTCATAAACTCGCTCTTTGCGACACTCCCACCTGGGAATATGACAATGGTATAATGTCAATCTGTTCACATATTTACATATTCGTATACTTGAAATAATCTGTTTCCACTGATCCTGATTGGTCTATTATATTGCCACTGTTGTCAAGGATTGTGTCTCTTTTAAATGTTAATACGAAGATTTCCGTTATCCTATCAAATGGTAACTCCACAGTTCCGTCATGTAGCTCCTGGTCATCAACATCACTACAAATAATAACATCATTAGATTCTTTATCATCAGCATCATACATTTCATCCATATGCTCATATATTTCATCAGCATCAGCGGTACTTCCATTTTCAGTGTCTTCAAGATCATCATTATAATCCAAAATATCTTCATTGTCACTTTCTTGCCTACTGTTTAGTCCATCTGTATCATCATCATAATTATAAGCACTAGTATCGGATTCCCTGTCATCAACATAAGAATCCCTTTTATCAGAATCACAACTGCCAACACCAACACCATCTTCAGGAGCACTGCAATAACTTTCTTCCTTGTTATCGGCATTATTATTTACATTTACAGCCTCCATCTTATCATCATGATATTCCATACTTAGAGTGTTGTCACTTACTGAAGAGATTACTTCCAAATCAAGATTGTCAGTGTGGGGTTGCTGCTCTTGGAATAAGTCTAAGTCGAATTGGTCGATGATTTTATTTTGTATTTCTTTGTTAGGTTGAGCAGCAGTTTCAATTTCAGCAATGATTTTTACTATTGCATCATCATCTTCATTTATATCTACGTAACCATCTTTATCGGGCATTGAAGAATTACACCTTAGCGCTGTTTGAAGTGTCTGTACCCTTGATAAACTATGCGTTTTCTCCAGATGGTTCACAAGATTGTAACGCCTTGTGTACTTTGTTTCACATCCTTCTATAGCACAATGCCAATAATTATGATACAATTTTTTTTCTGAAATATGACGAGTCAAATTCCTTTTCAAAGTAAATATTGCTTGACAAGTGTCACAAAAATACATTTTCAGCAAGACAGAATGTGTTTCTCGATTGAAAACTGAGCAAACAATGAATACTAAGCATGTGGCTATAGCGCACAAAAATCTCGCAAAACCCGTGCAAATTTCCCGCCATTTATTTCTCTATATCTTTGCTCCCGTTTACAATAGTTTAGATAACGGATTTTGCTATATATGTGGGGCTGTTAAATGATAAACAGTTTCTCAAAATATGTACATAAAGTCTGTATATGGTCGTAGATGTAAAATTTTAACGAGTAGACCAAAAAAAAATATTCACACGTCATTGTGGTTGCTTTTATACTTTTTACGCATAAAATTCATTCACATATACAGCAATCTTTATACATTTTTTATGTTTTGAATATGTTTGCAGCATATGTTATTTTTTTTTTTACATTACTAAAAGTTATTTCGCGTATATGCGACGCTTCCGCCAAAAGATGTTGAATTATCACATATTTTGGAACATTTGTCTAGCTTTCTCCGCAGCTTTACGCATAGGCCTTAATGTTTTTAATTGACAATTCTTTGCTTCTGTCTCTTGCTGGTGTGAATTTCTTTTAATATCTGGATCCCTAATTTTTGACTCTGACATTTCAATAGGGTAAAGCAAATTAAGAGGCCGTCTCAAAATTTGTTCAATTGAGGTTTCTAATTCAGCAGACCGAACTTGTCCATCCCTACTTGTGCGTAAATTTATTATTTTTGCTAGTTTCCACTGACCCCGTGGAAGATCATCTTTTATTATAACTATATCTCCTAAGTTCGGTGATTCGGATGATTGCACTTTTACAGATTTAATTTTGTTCTGTGATCTCTCTCGTAAACTAAGCAAATATTCATCTCGCCATAAGATCACAAATTTATTCAGGAGTCGTTCTCCTTTTTTCCATAGTTGTAATAACCTCTCGGCAGAACTTTCATATGGTTTAAATTCTGGATCGCTGTAATCATAATCAAGATTTGGTATTCCAGTTTTCGGATTTAAGCAGAGAAAATGACCTGGTGTTAAAGTTATTGATGACTTTATGTCTTCGCCAACATACACTAGAGGTCTCCTGTTGACTACAGCTTCTATCTCTTTAACGACAGTGCTTATTTGATCCATCAATAACAATTTCTTTCCTAGAGCTTTCCTCAATGCACGCTTTACAATTCCAACTAATCTTTCATATACACCTCCCATCCAGGGCGCCAGTTCTACTATGAAGGTCCTTTTATACCCTCAGTGGATGCGTAATTTTGTACATCTGCTTCTTGCAATGTTTTCGCCTATATCAATCTAATAGTTTGATTAGACAATTTGAATTGTTTGGCATTGTCGCTGATTATTTCCTTTGGTGTTCCTCTTACTGCTACGAATCTTCTTAGACACAAAAGAAAGGAATTAGCTGTCATATCTTGTACAATTTCCAAATGTATAGCACGAATAACTAGAAAAGTGAAAATGCAAATCCAAACCTTTTAAATTTCATTATTTTCCTTTATATAAAGCGGTCCGAGATAATCTAAGCCTACAGAAGAAAATGGAGTAGTTTCTGTGACACGTTCTCTCGGCAAGGGAGCCATAGATGGCAATTTATAAGGACCACCTTCAACTCGTCTACAGACTCGGCACGATTTTAACACCGAACGAATCGTTGCTCTTCCTCTTGGAATCCAAAATCTTTGTCTTGTCTCACTTAAAGTCTGCGACACACCGCTGTGTAATATTTTATTATACATCCTTTCAATCAAAAGAATTGTGAACTTGTCTTTTCTTGGAAGTAATATTGGTCTTCTAGCAGCTTCGCAAAGATTAGCGTGTTGTAGTCGTCCGCCACATCTTATCATTTCTGATTCATCAACAAACAAATCCAACTGTTTTACCAAATTATTGGGTCTTTCATCTTGTATAGATTGAAAAACATCAGCAAAATGGTTTCTTTGAATCTGTTTTAACAATAACTGTTCCGCTTCGTTGATTTCATCAATGGAAAGAGTATGACTTCTATTTGAGCGACTTCCCGCATTTCGAATAAATCGATTGCACCATGCTGTAACTCTTATTAATTTTGATATAGATGAAAACTTGTTAACATCTATTCCAAACGGCGTTTTTTCTTCTTTGTTGTTTTCAGTTAATAGACAGTCTTCCGTTAAATAATCAGATTCAGATATGTTTGCGTCTTCTTTCGGCTCATCACTAATTTCTACATCGAACAGTGTTTGAATATCTTCCCTTTGACACTCATTTTTCCTTTCATTGAATTCATAATCTTCTTCAGAAATATAACATAGCGACTTTTCTTGTAAGCCTATCACAATCTTTTGTAGCATCTTGGAGCCATGCCAATATATTTGATTTTTACATAAATCCACCAAGGTACTCCCGCGACTTGCTACATCCGCTATATTGTCTGTAGATTTTACAAAGCTACATGTAATATCACTATAGCTGTTTATTTCTTTGACACGATTCTTTATGAATACAGGGAGTGACTTTTCTAACGACAACCATTGGAGAACACACTGAGAATCAGTTAACAAAATAAGATGTTCCAATGGCAGCTGTATTTGTTTTTCTACGAACTTCAAGCATCTGACTCCTATAAGTACTGCCATTAATTCAAGTCTATGAATTGTAATTACTTTAACTGGTGCAAGTCTACATTAAGAAAACATCAAGTCACACTTAAACATTTTGTCTTTAAGTTGTATCAGATAGATAAGTGCTGAATATGCTTTACTTGAGGCATCACTGAAGCAAACTAGTGAATATTTTACACCTTCTATGTCATCTGCTATGGTAAGATTTCTTTGTATTCTTACATTTTCATGCTCTAAGTCACGCCTGATTTCCAGCCAGTCATCTGAATCTTCTTTATCTAACAAATCATCCCATTCATAACCTTTGCACCAAACTCGTTGGAGCAATAATTTACCAAGCAATGTTACAGGAGAACACATTCCTAACGGATCATACACTGATGCAATCTGTTTCAAAAAGTTTCTTTTTGTAATTTTGACCTCTTCCTTAATTGACTTTTCCCCTTTTAATGATAGAGTATCATCCTTTACATTCCACCAATGGCCCAACACTTTAACAGCATTACCATTTGATCTATCTTCTTCCTGAATTGTCATGCGAAGCTCCTTATTGTTAGTCATCCACTCGCGTAGGTTCATATTCATTTCACCGAAAATTGATTTCGCTCTTTTATACAATTCAACTGCTTCAAATTTCGTTTGTACTCTTGTTATCACATTGTCCATGTAAATATCTTCTTTTAACTGATTTGCCAATTTTGAATTGTATTTGTCCAAATGACTTTCAATAGTAGCTCCAAGTAAAAATGGACTGGAAATAATTCCAAAGGGAACCCGACAAAACCTATATTCTTGTATGCAATTTTCATTAACCATAGGCTTTTCACAATCCTTTAACCATAAAAAGCGGGTAACATCCCTTTCAGGTTTCTGTAACTCCACATGGAGAAATGCCTTTTCTATATCCGCTACAATGCCAATATTGTGTAATCTGAATCTCATGATTATGCCGCACAGGTTATGTAACAGCACAGGGCCTATATAAGCATTCGTTGAGACTTTTATAGTCTTCGTGTTTTTGCAGATGCGTCGTATACAATTCTCATTTTGTAGTGCTTTTCTCTGGAGTTATCACTACGTGGTGAGGAATATAGTGTTTTAATCCATCACTAACATCTTTTTCCGTCTTTTTTATTATCCCCTTTTCAAGCTGATCTTTAATGATGTCATCATAACGTTTCATTATCTCTGGTTGTTTCTCTAGTCTACTAACAAGGGATCTTAGCCTACCTTTTGCCAAACCACGATTTTCTGGTAAATCTGGGAACTCTTCTCGCCAAGGCCATGTTACTTGGTATCTACCATTATTAAACTGAAGTGTCTCCCTAAAACGTTCCATTGCAGTTTCATCTTCAGATTGATCGATTCTATCTGTGATACCTATACTCTCAATACTCCAAAAGTCTCCCAAGTTTGGTTTTGTGGGAAGAACTCTATCAACACATGTGAGCACGTTTGTTTCAGTGGCATTTTCTCCATATGTAAGGATCAACATACTTGCTTCAGGTGTTTTAACAGCTTCATCATTTGATTTCATTCTACCAGACAATATCCATCCAAGCTTTGATGATAACAAGTAAAATCCTGGTTGTATTTCGATTTTTTCCGGTTGAATTATATCCAAATAATAATCGTTTCCTATTAAAAGTTCTAACGTAACAGGTTCATTCTTGTTTGGAATTGAATCCGCCAGGATCAAGTTTTGTGTAATTTCTTTAAACCTCCTTGGTAAATTGAGCTTTACTTGTTTACGCGTTATTGTTCCAGTCAATGTTGGTACAATATTTGCCACTAAAGTCATATCAGTGCCATTATTCAATTTTACTTTTAGCTTAGTACTTTTAGTCTTTATAACCTTTTCTTTTTTACTACCAAATGTCACTAACTGAATATGTTGCTCCTTATCAACCTTGAGTCTTAGTCGATGCGCCAAATCTTCAGTTATGTAAGTCCTTTGGGAGCCTGAATCTAGAATTAATCTGACTTCATCAGATGCTCCACTTTCAGGATTCTCAATACTACATTTCGCAGTTTGCATCACAACTGATTCATCACAAGACAGGAGTCCTATTTCACCAGACATATTTTCAGCTTCATTGCTTTCAAGGCTCTTTACTTCTTTTGAAAGGTAAACACTCTCTTTAGGTGTCTCCCTTCTGAATTTCCTTCCACATAAGCTCCTATGGTGGGTGTTAAATTCACCACAATATACTCAGCCTTTCGACGATTTACACTGACTTGAGATGTGTCTTTCTTTGAGACATCTATAGCAGCTCCCTTTAATTCGTCTTTTTCTTTCGTTTATAGTCGTGTAATTTGGACATTCATCGCTCCAGTGTTTCTGGTCACAGTATCTACATTTCAATATGTTTGAATTCTTTGACTTTTCACTAGTGACTAAAACACTCGATGAAGAAACTCCTTGCTTTTCAGGTCTGTTAAATCTTCTCGAAACATTTGTCGAATTCGAATTTTATATAGCAGAATCTTTGCTCCAATGCTTTGGTTTCACAATATCTGCGTTTTCAGCTTTTTCTTTTGCCACGATGTATTGACGAAATAAGTCACGTAAGTTACTCACTGACCACTTTTTCCAGCTCCTTTCATTATCTCAATTTGAAGAAGGCCGTCATTTGGTAATTTTCTTCTTATCATTGATACAAAGATGTCTTGGTTTGTATCTTGGCTCAAAACTTCAAGACATCGAAGGTGTTTCTCGACCTTATCAATGAACTGTCTTAAATTCTCCAAGGAATTTCTTGCAGGATTCATATCCATCAATGCTTTGTAGTGTGAATCTATTGTCTCCTGCCTATTTCCGAATCTTTTATGCAATATCTCAATAGCGACTGAATAATTCGTATTTGATAAGGTAAGACCTATTATTGCATTTCTAGAATCTCCCGTAAGCTTGCTCTTCAAATAATTGAATGTATCAACATCTGAGAGACTATCATTTTTATGCACAGAATTTTCAAAAGAATCCCAGAATTCGATCCAGTATAACTTGTTTCCATTGAAAGATGGTATGTCAATCTTAGGTAATTTTACCGTGTCTTTCTTTACTCGTTTGCTTTCAACTAAAACTCTCTGTAATTCCATTTGAGCTTCAAACATTGTCTTCATTTCTTCTGTAACTACAGCTAAAGATAAAGCACGCTCCTTTTTTTCTATCTTGTTATGTTCTGTTTCCTTACTTTCTTGCAAAGTGTCCTCAAAAATCTGTAGCTTATGATATAAAGTGCTAGCCTCTTCTATTATATCGGAGTCATCGATTGCTTGAGATAATTTCTCGGACTGCATCATAAGCTTGTCGTTATATAAGTTGATACTAAGCTTAGCTTCCAGCACACGCTGACGTAGTTGTTTATATTCATCAACATCAAATAAATCACTCAAATCAGTATTCAAAATTTCTTTTACGTTTTGTATCTCTTTCAACAGTTTGTTGTAAAATCTTGTTCGCACACCTTTCATGTATTGAAGTCCCGACATACTGGATGAATTGTCAGCACACTAATTTCACTTTAAGTAATCAATACACAAAACCTTAAACACTGCTTTTTTATGAGAATAATTGTTGCTCCCGGGTTCCGGCGCCAATCAATGTAGTGAAGATATAATAACAACTTTTAAACCTTTAAACTATTTTAACTTTTATCCCCATTACATCGGATGTTTAATGTTGAATAAATAACTTGAAAACAACTGTAATATTCAAACCTTTTATTTTCCTTTATTTATTATAATTCCAAATACTTTTTAACTTTAAGTTCACAATGGCATTAATTTTTATACATCACAGCATAGTAAATCTCAAATCAGTCCCAAACAATCGAAAAAGTGAACACCTTTTATAGTAAATATTTAAGCGGAAAAATTAGCATGAAAATATCGAATACCGGTAACATGAAAATCAGGAAATACATGAAATACATGAAAATATTTAATAATATTGCTCCCATCAATTGTTAATATACTCCATTGGGAGCAGCCTGCTCCCTTTCGTAAAAATATAACAAAATATAACAAAGTTTATAACCTCGCTCTTTGCGACATAAAATATTGATCTCAATATTTTCAAAAAAGTCAAATTGATCATTGTTTATAACTTTCGAGGTAGAAGGAGTAATATATGTTTGGCAAATAAACACATCATCGAAAAAGTCAAATAAACAACGATCTAATTTTACCCAAATGTAGCCAAACTGATTTTTATCAACAATAGACACGTATTTACTTATCTTATCTGTATAATAAAAAGATATGCCTCCACTCGTTCTACCCCTTGTTGTATTTAAAGACTTATTTCCGAGTATATGTACACTATGAAAGCCACGAACATCATAACTAATTGAGTCAAGTTTTGACAACCACGTCTCATTTAATAAAACAAGATCATATTTATTTATTAGCTGTAAAAAGTCATTGTCACATAAATTTCTTTTTAATCCGTGAACGTTCCATGATAATATCTTGATTGACCCCCATGATCCCGCTAATACGAATCCGGTTTAACTTCAACATTGTTCACGAATAATTTTTTGCCCACAAATTTGACATGTTTGCCGTCCTTTTTTGCTTGATTCATTATGGGCTACAATGGAACTCTGGCGTCACGAACGGATTTAGGGAGTTGGGCGCCTATCCCGCGTCCGGCTTCTTTCAAATCGTCGGCAAGATCGAACGAACTGCTCGCACCCTTTCACGCTGATAGCGATAATGAAATGAAACAAGGATTGGACGAGATTTTTTTGCACTTGCTTTGCCAAGCCGCTGAACCTTTAGAGAGTTTTAACGTTTCAGCACAAAGTTCCTTAATTAGGGTTTCACAGTTTTCATGCTCATTTTCTGGGAAACTGTAGAACAGGAGGTTGTTTTGAAGAGACTGTATTTCGAGGTTTGTAATTTGTTCCTGAAGTCCACTTTTTGCGCGAGGAACTCGGTTGATTGCTGTTGAATAGTTTTACATGACGATCGTATTTTTTTCATTTCGTTTCGTGCCTCCTTGATTTCCGATTTAATTGATTCGTCATCTTTTGTGAGAAAATCACAGAACTTTTCGGTGTCACTTAATCGAGTACACAGACACTTGGGGTGTGGAGCTCAAACCGCCTTTAAAATCCAAATAAAATGCATATTTGTCAATCCCAGCACATGTACTGATCATATATATAAAACAAACTTAATATAAGCCGTTTTGAAAAAAAAAATCATATTTCAACGTCTATAAAGTGTATTATTATAGACGTTGAAATATGTTTTTTTTTTTCAAAACGGCTTATATTAAGTTTTTTATATATATATATATGATCCGTACATGTGTTGGGACTGACAAATATGCATTTTATTTGGATTTTAAATGCGTTTTGAGCGCCACATCCCAAGTGTCTGTGATCGAGTATTCATAGATTTCATTTTTGTTTCAAGATCAACAACCTTAGAGTTTATCGTATTTACCGTTTTTTTTCTCTATTTTATCCACAGTTTTCATTTGTTCTTTGATGTGTTTGACGTCGTGTAGTAACTCGGTTGCCCAGGGAGGTACGAACCCAAAGCTTGCTGCCATTGGTGGAGGGCAACCGGGGTAGGGCGACTGCATCATATTGAAAGGCGGTTGTGAGTAAGACATTTCCGCGGCAAATATTTCGGCATTAAATTCCGAAACAAAATATGGACTGCCTAGTTAACTCTTCTTTAACCTAAGGTTATCTGTTATTGTATTGTGTGTAAAAAAAGTATGGTATTGTGATCTCCTTGTTGAGATTCAATTGACGATAATCCCGAGAGATCCGTGCTATAATCTACAACGGCGAGCTTGCTTCACGTTTGTTTTTTCTCTTATTTTCACGTTTTATGTCATTTGTTTCACTGTTTGGCTTTTTAGACATCTGCCGTGTATATAAATCCAAGTACTATCACAAAAAATAATATCCAAAAATATCCAATATGTATGTAAAATTCAGTTTAAATACACGAGCTAAAATCCATGTTACCTGCCTTAACCACGTGACATTACAAAATATGGATTTTGAGAAGAGAAAAATTGTGTAACGTGCATTATTAAAAATAACATGTATTATAAAGAAGCGGATAAAATGTGTGTTATATCTCTTCCAAACAACCCATCTTAACTTCTCAAGATTTTGAGAGAAAAAAATAATTGTTTAAAATCTTGTTATGTGACTTAAAATTTCTGTTTGCATCACAGGCAAATCGGATAAAGGATATAACCAGGTATATTGAACACTAAAACTCCATTATCACCTGTTCTTATATTTTTTCAGAATGATAATTAATCTCAATTTTATGTTATAAAATTTCTTTTGTTTTTATATGAACCATTTAAACAGCAAATAAGTTAACTTTCCATTTGCTAATAGATATATTTCCACATATTCTTTAAAAAATGATCTCAGTGTCAGGTCCGTGATCGTAAATTCTTAAACAAGTATCTTTTCCATGCCTTTTTATGGCATTCTTCGCCACAAAGCTATAAAGTCATCTTTTCTATATTTGTTTAAAGCTATTTCATATAATTTTCTACGTTTTACCTGAAAATAATTCAGGATTGTCTATGAACTTCTACTATATTTATATGTAGGGCGATGCTCTTTTGCATTTTTGCAGATTTCGCATGCGCGATAAAATACTACTTTCGATCGATTTTTTATAGCAACGGACCGCGTCGTAAAAAGGTCTATATGAATTTTGCTTAGGCCGGTGCTAGGGTTCTTGGACGGTAGCTTGCAATTTCTAGTACCGTCCATGTACAGTCATAATCAAACCGAGCCAACAACGTTTTCAATTTTACTGTTGTGATCGTATTTTAGAAATTCTGTTGGTTTCTTTTTCTATTTTAAAACAGGTCGTACAATTGATATTGTTGCAATAACATGCGGTTCAAGAGACATAGTCGCTGACTTGTGAAGATGAAAGACGATTTCTGAAATATTTACATACTGGCCTTAATTGGCATTCAAATTATGCCATAAAGGTTAACACAAATGCTGTTATATCAATATAAAAAACTTGAACATCTAATGGTAAATTAAAATGTTAGACATTTGGAATCTCAGATACCTCAAATAGATAAGTTGTTCATAAAGAATGACCTGTAATGGTTTGAAGTAATGATGTAACCTTGACCTTTAACCTCTTGACTCTTAAGTCAATAGGGGTCATCTACTTGTCATGAACAATAATCATACCAAGTTTTAAGTTCCTAGGCCTAATCATTCTTTAGTTATCGATTGGAAACCATTTGGTCTACGGACCGACCGACAGAAAATGCAAAGCAATATACCCCCACTTCTTTGAATGGGGGGTGGGGGTAAGTTGATGTTTTGTAAACGCTCCAACAACATACTTTTCAAAACTACATTTTTGGTAAAAAAAACAGCACATTTGTTTATGCTTCAAAAATTTGGTTAAGAATAAACTAAACTCATAAATTTACTGGTTTATGATTACTAATTTGGTATCGCTACTATTTCTTAGCTCAATTAAGTTGACATCTCATGACAGTGCTTTTAATCACAACCAATTTTAAATTTCCGGGAAGTGCTTAACTTATTTCCAGGTTTATACTTGAAACTGCTCGCAATAGAGAAACCTCGCAACAAGTATTCCTCACAATAGAGAACCCCACAATAGCAAAATCCTCAAAATAGATAATCCTTATAATAGAAAATATAGCAGGGAATCCTCACTTTAAGAATCCTTACAATAGATAAAATTCGCAGTAGAGAATTCTCACAACCACTCGTTTGTATGTGATACTTTATGGTCAACATTAATTTCAAAGCTAATATCCCACACAATATTTACAAATTATGTTTGCTGGTAAAAAAAGTTGCCCGCTTGGTATGTTTTTATCCAGCAATCGACTGCTGCACAATATATCATAGACAATTATGTCTATGAAAAAAGACAAAAAAAGAGGAAAATATCTTGATAATTCGTTCTTGAAACTGACATTTATATAATAAATTCTACCTGCATAAATTGTCCTACTCGCCACATGTTACTTGTATGCATGAACTTTTTTTAAACACAGTTTAGTAATATTACACATGAAATAAAGGATATTCAATGAGTGGATATACAAAACTGAATTTTATTGAACGAGCTGAATAGAATTTTATAATGCCTGCCTCTGGCGAGCAAAAATATTGTTTTATTGAATGAGTTCAATAAACTCAGTAATGAACCTACACGAATGTAATATTCTATTTATCAAAAACTGTTTAAAGTTTTCATTGACGCTTCTTTGTTGTACAACAGTAACATTTCTAGATCTAAAATTATAAAACTATTTTCATTTAGATAATGTTTCAAATCTGAAAAAGTGTCAGTCTAAAATTTTGACTTTTCTGTTTGGTTTGAAATGAAATGTTGATTACATTTTTGTTTAAAGCGTTTAAAATATTAAGCTCCCCATCAATTAATAATGCTTTGTTACCAAAACAAGTGTGTTAGGAAAACAATTCTAT